GACCACAGTTTGGGGGCAGCTAGGTGGCGCAGTGGATAGAGCACCAGCCCTGAAGTCAGGAGGACCTGAGTTCAAATCCGGCCTCAGACCAAACACTTGACACGTATTAGCTGTGTGACCTTGGGCAAGTCACTTAATACCGATTGCCTCACTAAAAAAAAAAAAAAAAGCGTGGTTAGTTAACTAGGATGTGGGCAGTAGGCAGAATATTATATTATGTTATAATCCTGGCTCTAGTATCAATTTCCTTAGTGTTTGTAAGCAAATTTCTATGATGCTGTCAAATGGAAAGAAGCACCTGTAGCTACCACACAACCCAGAAGAGAATACTTAAAGGCAACATTACATTTTCATGTTGTCTGTGTTATCAGAAGTTGGCTCACAGACAATGTTTTTGAAGTTCTACCATGTCTGGCATACCACAATGAGGAGAGGTTTTTTTTGTTTGTTTGTTTTTTTTAGTGTTTCCTAGTCATTCCCTAAACACGAGGTGTGTGAGGACATCTTTCCCCTTTTCTGTAGTAACAGTGTCCTCAGTAATGACTGTGCAATCTGTTTGTTTACATTGATTTTCGTGCTTGCATTCTCCCAGGTAACATGCCACCTCCTGCCTCAGCTGTTGCCCTGGTGTTCTGTGTGCCTGCAATGTGTTCCCTCTCCACCACCCTATCTTAGTATATGCCAATTCTACCCGCATATCAGTAGATTCTTGGCAATATTTCTGAACATTCCAAAAAGTCCTTCCTCCACTGATGGAATTGATACCCACACATGGGATTAGTCTATTTCAAAAGGTACACTGGCCCTCAAATGGAAGCAGGTGCTTAAATGACGATGCTGCGCTGGAAGCCCTTCCAGACTGCTTTGATCTGCCTGCCAGATGTGCCTAGCCTTTGAGAGCCCCACGTTGCCTCAATAACACAATGAGGTGTTACAACAAGGCATTGGGGTGGGTTTCTTCACCTCTTTTGTGGCAGGGATCCCTTTGGCAGCAGTCTGGTAAAGCTTGTGGACTCTTCTCAGAATAATATTTCTAAATGTGTAACATGAAATACACAAGATTACAAAGGAAATGAATTATATTGAAATATAGATGTCAAGAGTGAAACAAACAAACAAACAAACAAAAAACCAAGTTCCCAGACCCCAGACTCAGAAACTTTGTTTCCAGGGGTCCACACTTTAAAAAGAATTTTGCTTTTCTAGTTCTTGTTGGTGTAACAACATGCTTCATGCTTTAGGACATTTTTTCACTAAAACATGTTCTAACAGTATGCTTCAAAGCAGAATATTTGGGATGATTTTCATTAAAATAATGTTTCCATATCTCCATGCTTAAGCCCACAATTAGCACTGTGAGAGGCATTAGCTTATGAGCTCGACGGTGCCGGAGGCACCATCTCTAAATCCATGTTCCCACTATCCCATGACCTAGCAACCCTCCTCCCCTCCAATTCTATGCCTGAGGAATCTAAGGAAACCAAAGATGGTGGAGGACTTGCCCATGTCCACACAGGGTGGGACCCAGATCTTCCCATTCTATATCTGTCGCTAAGGTCCTGTGCAATCCTGATATTTTATGGGTCGGCTTCTTCCTGTGTAATGCGAGGGGGTCCTTAATCTCTTCCAGCCTTGGCATCGTTAGGTCCTATGACTCCATCAGTGAAGATGGGGAGACAGAGGAAGAGAGGAAGGTTTTCAGGCCTAGGGACTAGCACCAGTAAAGGCCTAGAGAGGGGCAGGACCAAGTGAATACTTGGAACAGTAAACAGACTAGGCAGGTGGGAGCAAAAAATATGATCTGAGGAAGGATGGACGACCACACTGGAAAGTGAGGTCTCCTGGCAGAGGCTGAAGGCCCACGAGTCTGTGGGTCACACTCTTCTCAGATATGGGTTCCATCAGATGGTCTCTAAAGCCCCTGTAAGCTTGGATATTCTATAAACTACAGCCTGGGGCAAGACTGTGAAGGGCCTCAGGTGCCCCGCTGACGAACTTAGTGGGCTTTGTCCCACAGCTGTCCCATGATCAGGAGGAGACCATGGGGGATTTTAGAGCAGGGGGAATGAAAGTGGGAGAAAGTGTGATGGATCTTTCTTCTTTTGTGAGTGTATGTGAATGAAACTTTTGTGATATATTATTTGAGAATCTAGGAGACTGTGCTAAGCATGGAATATTTAAGTTGTCTGAGAGAAGGGAATGGAACTTTATATCCTGTCTACAGAAGTAAAAAGTATATTTAAAACAGAAATAGAATTTTCCTTGAAAATGATTCGGGCTAGGATAACCTTTTAACAGTTAAGGCATTACACAGAAAAGCCCTGCTCTTACACTTCCACCAAAGAGGTCACTTCTAATTACTTGGTGTTGTTTACTATTGTTATCTAGGACGTGCAAGAACACGTCCGGCTAGGAAGACTAAAGGACACTCCCTGTCATCTGATATTTTTCCTCTTCACATTGGGCGAAGGCTTGCCACATCTCCGCTTAACTCATTTGCCATCAGAGTCGTGACTAGAGACTTGGGTCCTTGGATTGCCGCCACGCCCAGGAGAAGCTGCATGAAAGCTTCTCAAACCAACTTTGTAGCATACGGCATGAAGATGACACAAGACATAAATAAGCCAAATTCCTTTAGAGGAAAAGGAGCTTTTTCCCTCAGCTTTTTTAACTGCAGGCACTGTTCCCCTTTTCCCTTTGACACCCTCTGGGCTGGCATGTAATAATTTCTTGCTGATTGAGCAATTGATTAGGCATAAATGCTTTGTGTTCACTGCTGGTTGCTGGTGCCCTGGAGCTAAGCCTGGTGCCTCCCACCCCCAGTAACGGCCCTTTGACATTGTTATCTCTAGGTATAACATCTGCTGATGTAGACATTTCTTCTCATGATGTTGACTTTTAACGGTCCCTTTATTTATCACAGGAGCCGTCGGTCTCACTTGCCTAATTTTAGCCATTTTGAACTGGAAACTCCAACGAGGCAGAGCCAGGCCCACGTCAGACAACCCATGTTGCCGAGCCCTTGGTGAATCCCTGTGTGCTCGTGACCCAAGAAACAACTTCACGCAGGGATACTGCAACTGTCGCTCAACTCAGGAAAATGAAATCAAGGTCATGTCCATTGTGGGATCTGGAAAGGAAAAGCCACTTTTACAGGAAAACTGCCATCCAGCGACTCTAGAAAGAGTCCCGAAGTCCACGGGCCTCCAAGCCTCCTTCAGGAACCTTGCACAAGGGAAGGGATGTGGGCCAGACAACGGTCCTTTCTTACGCTTCAACTGTAGACTGGTGCAGCCAGGCGTTCCAGAGTGTTCGGGGAACGTGATGGTCATTAATGAAGCCAGTCCACCGACAAGACATTTCCAGAGAAGAGTAGGAAAGCTGGGGCATTTTGAACCAGGAGAGATCCAGACGCAGACATTTCAACGAAACTCAAAGAGGACAATGGGTGAGTTAGCTCTTCTTGTGTGAGGGAGAGGTGTGCATGGTAGCGGTCAATGGGGAGGGAGCAGCAGATGCAGCATCCTTCTTCAGGGCCTAAGGATGCTTGTGGGATTAGGGAAAAAAAAGACAATGTCTATTGAATGTCCAAACCAAAAGACGGCTTGTGAATGGCCATGATCCTAGGAAAGATTTATGGCCACGTGAGTTTTGGCATGCTATGATCTACAATGCCAACTTGGCAGTCCGAGACTGACCTTCCTGGCCTGTGACAATTTAGAAGAATGGACCTTCTGATCCTAGTGGGTCATTCTGGGAAGGGAGGTAAAAACAGAGTCCTGCCCTCACTTCAGAGGCTAGAAAAAGGCAGAACTTCATCCGTTCTGCCAGGCTGGGAACCAAGCAAGCCCAGTCATGACACGGACATTTTCAATACTTAGGTGAAAAAAATGAATGAAATTTCTTTTTGCTCCCCGCCCCATGCCACCCCCCCACCCACTTTACTTCCTGAATAGAAAGGCAATTCCTTTAACTCGGTGGGAGGATGGGGAGGCTCCTGTCATTTATTTGTGTTCATTTATGTCAAGCAGCACTTTCTCTCAAAGTATGGATGACAGAAGTGCTGCCCTAAGAAATCTTACCGAGGTCTTTTAGGCCTAAGGCGAGAACTGGGGACAATTGGACAGGAATGAGATCATATGTTCCTTTCGCTTACAATGGAAGGTGGGATGGGCACCTCTTCTGCCATATCCCCAGGCCCTAGTTCTTAGTACTTGTTGAGGATGGATGGTTTGGATGGTGGTGGAAAGAAGCATCAAAGAACCGTATTAGATGGCAGAAGGGGGAAAAACCATTTATGGAGTGCCTACTGTGTGCCAGGTACTCTACTAAGCGCTTTGCATATCCTATCTCATTTGGCTCTCCTAACAATCTTGGGAGGTAGGTGCTATTATTACCCCCATTTTACATTTGAGAAAACTGAGGAATCCTGAGGTTAAGTTAGGAAACTAAGCTCAGGGTCACATAGCTAAGCAATGTGTGAGGCTGGATTTAAACTCCAGTATTCCCAATTCCAGTCTCATGCTTTATCCACTGCACCTCCTAGCTACCTAAAAGGAGTTTCATCTGATAAAGAAGCAAGGTGATTTTGTTTTGGGCTATTTAATTTTTTTTCCTGTTCTTCAGATGTCCTTTCTTTTTAGGCATGCTTATTATCTCTCAGAATTTCCCCTGCCCCACCCTCAAGCCCCCAGGTTGACAGATTCAAGAACTGGTACTAAAATTTGGAGGTTTTGGATTCTGAAATACTGGACTATCTTAAATATGACCTTTTCTTCTGGAGAAGGCAGCTTTGGTCTGAGGGTAGGAGCATAGACAGACCTCCACACTTTATAGATCTAGATGTAGTCTGGGGGTTCTTAGCCTAGAGTCCAGATTTCAGGGGGTCCATGTACTTGTGTGGGGAAAAATATCTATATCTATATCTATATATCTTCATTTTCATTAGCCTTGAACTGAAATTTAGCATTCTATCAATCATTCGAAAATATCCTTTAGAGAAAGGGTCCATAGGCTCTCCAAGGCAGCCACAGGAGCCCAGGATACACAAGAAATTTCAGACTCCCTGCTTTAGGCAGTAGAAAGGGTTCCACTACACAACCTCCACTACACTCCCAGTGAACCAGTCAGTCAACCCATATTTGTTTCACAGCTTTTATGTTCCAAGTGTTATGCAAGATGTTGAGAAGGTAAAGGCAAAACTGAAGCAGCACCTCCCACAGGAAGCTTATATTCTAATGGCACAACTAATTGTTCTTCTTCCAGCTCTAGGAATTCCCTTAGGCTTGCCTTGGAGGATGAAGGGCAGGGAGCATCACATTGACTCATTTACTCAAGGATTCACTGTGGGGAGGTAGAGGAGGGCTGGACCTGGAGATGGAGGACAGGCGCCTCAGTCTAGCTTTGACGTTCTTTTCCTCAGTGACATTGAATGGATCACTCAAGCTTTCTGGGCCTCGGGGTCACGATATGTGACAGAGGCAGGATTCGAACCCAGTTCTCTCTGATTCTAAGGCTAGCTCTTTCTCCACTATGTCACAGCACATTGTATATATGCCAACATACCAATCAATACAAAGTTGCATTTTTTTTAAATGAGGGTACTATCTTATTCAAAGCTAAAAATTTCTCAACTGACCCTCTCTTCATGTTTTTTTTTTCCTGAATTGTGGGGAATCCAATGATACTTTGGGGACATAAATACGGGACTGGTCCAGACAAGAATTCATAATGTTACAACTCAGGTGCTCAAATTGGCCTTCAGAGTCAGACTAGACAATACCTTCATTTTTCAGAGAAGGACATGGAGTCCAAAGAGGGAAAGTAACTTGTCCTTGTCACATGGTTGGTAATTAACACAGTCAGGATTTGAAAACAGATTCTATGGCTTTAAGGTGTCCATCCAAGTTCAGTGCTTTTAGCCACCAGAAAGGCAGGGGGTGGGGGGCAAGGAGGAGTTCATTTGTTAGGTTGATTCAAAACAATCAGACCGATGTGTGTCTTATATTTTATATTTCAAATGAGATAATATATGTGTAACACTATACTTGGCAAAATTTAAAGGGTTATATAGTTTCCAGCTAATATTATTATGTTTATGGAAAGTAAAGATGTTTCTAAGCCTCAACGAATGCTATTCAATTCAGTGGGACAACAGACTGAATGATGCCCCTAGCCCAGTGCCTTTGCAGAGCATGCTTCTTGGTCAATCCACCCAGCGATGGGCAAATGTTATCACCAAGGCTTGCAAGAGTTCCCCACATTCCTTCCTGTCTATTTGGTTGAGAATTAGTGACAATGTTCCCTAGAATCTGCCAGAAGCAAAGCCATCTTCCTCAGTACTGTTTCCATAGGGTGGCTAAGCATCTGTTCAGTTGGTATAATAGAACTCTGCCGTGTGTTAAATGCCTGTGTTTATCGTTCAGCAGATATCGGCAGTGACACATTGAATGGAAGAGGCTCAACGCCCACCTCAGCCTTGGCAAGAGAAAACCTGGAAAACCATTTAACAAATGAGTCGTGGCAGCCTCCAACAGAAACAGGAGACGATGGCTTTCAACCTCACCAACAAAGACACTTCCTCACAAGCTCGCCAGCCAAGCCTCACAGAACTGAGGAGCGCCGAGTACCAAAAAATACAAGAAATCCCAGCTCCCACCGCCCTGGTCCTCATGGGCTGCTTTGGGAGAGCAGGCTCATGGATCTGCCCCCAGACAATCTCCTGGTCTGCAAATATGGCCCTTGGGATCAATTGCAGGATTGTACAGATGAAAGGAAATCAAGTTATAGGGAACGCCCAAAGTCCCAGAAAGACCACATCCAAGCGAACAGCAGGATCAAAGACCTTCTGCCAAGTGCGGGCAATGTAGGATTATCAGCCCGAGTCCAGAAGCCACACGTCCGAAAGAGAGTTAGCTTCCACATTCCAGACTTGGATGAAGAAGATGGATTGGCTCAGCTCCTGACTGACTTAACTGAGGCAGGAGCTCTTTGTACACAACAGCAAAATCCGCACAACCAAGCGGTCGTCTGCCATAGTGAGAAGCTAAGTGAGACGCAGGAAAAGACTAAAGGAGGAAAAGGCTCTTCTGGCGCACAGATTCCAGAAAAAGAACAAAGCAAACCCTCTTACCGAAGGAGAAAAGTGAAAGGACAGAATCTAAATGTTAAATTAAATTTACACCCCTTCGGGAGATTAAGAATCCACCCAGAAAAACAACCTGACAGAGAGAAGTGTCCTCCCACGTCCTCAAGGCGAGGGAAAAAAGTAGCCCAGCAGGAATCGTCCAAGGTTTCTGAGGAAGAGGCAGCTTGGAAGGAAAGACAGAGAAGGCTTAAGCAGACTGAGAGCAGTGGAAATAGTAGAACCATCCCTAAAACATTGACTCCTAATGCTGCTAACACGCAGGTCTCAGGTAGAAGCCGAAGGTCCGAACACTCCCCTCATGTCCCTGATCAAGTTCCTAGGCAAGGCCACGCCCACCATGTTGCATCTCCTCTATCTGCAGGCATCCTAACAGGATTTCCCCCTCAATCATCACCAAAGGAGAGAAGGGGAAGTGCTGTTAACCTGCCATCTTTAGTGCTCAGCTATTCATCAGGTAGTAGACAAGGGCCAGCAAAAAATGATTTCAAGCCCCAACAGTTCCAGGCTCTTGCTGACCAAGTGACACCAGAGGCCACTGAGGCTGGGGAGGGCCGTAAGTCACAGCACACTCTAGGACAGAAAGAAAAGGACGGCTCTATCACCTCAAGGAATGAAACACAGCCGGCAAGTGATTTCAAGCCTGACACCAATCAAAAGGATTTAAGCCCAGAGGAAATGTTACCTTACAAGCTCCAGCATTCCCGTCATCTACAGCCAGGAACTGAAAAGACTACTGTAGAGAGTAACACCAAAGCACCACCCCCAGTAGCTAAATGTTGTGTTACAAACGGGGGCCTCAAACCCTTAAACAAAAATGCTTCTAGAGTAGAGCCTTATGACTCTTCCCTCATTCCTCAGACCCAAGCCAATAGTGACATCACATTTGTAGAAACCAATTTCATTCCACACCAAAATAGACTCGAGTTTTCCAATGATATCAACACTCCTCTTCCTGGCACTCAAACCAATTGGCACCCAACCAGCAGGAGTGAAAAAGGAACTGACAGTGCAAATGGATTACCCAGAGATGATGGCAATGAAGCACCTAGGGGCACAGGGGGAGCCAAAGAAAGTCACGAAGCAGCCCAGGAAAGCAGTGCCAGTCATGGGGCGGTGATTCAAGCCAAGGAAGTGGTCGTCGCTGGCACATCAAGAGAGGCCAGGGAAAGTCAGAAAAATGGACAAAGTGAAGGGCACGCATTCCTGGGATCACGTGTTGTCTCTCAGAGTAGCGTGAGCAGCAACAGGTCTCCTGACATCCAAACGAGGCTGCTGCCGAGTGAAACTGGTCCCCAGATTTATCATCACATGAGAAAAGATGTACAAGAAACTCAAGCCATCCGACCAGGGAAAGGTGATGACCAACGTGGAGAAGGAGATGTAATGCCCCCCGAGAAGCATGAAGATGCCCTTTTGTTGCCAGTCGTAAAAGACGGCCGTCTTGAGGCAGAAAATGGGTGTCCCTAATTCCTAACTGCGGAAATGATGCTGAAAACTCTGCTGAAGACTCTGCCCTGCTTCTACCATCTGCCGAATGTGCTCATCCATCACCTTGAGCAGCAGAACAGAGGGAGCCAAAGAACTCCAATAGTAATTGCTTTCCCAGTTAGCTTTCTTCAGAAAGCGCAAACACACACCCCTAGCCTTTAGAAGCATTCCAAACGCATTATTGGGGTGAGAAAAGCCTCTCTCAAGCCTTTGTATCGAAGAAGCAAAACTCTGTGGGTGAATGCGATGCAGAAACCAAAGACCAAACCCACGAGATCCATTGGACACAATTAATTATCATCCCCCGGGGAAGGAGAAAAATCACAAAGTGAAGATGAGACTGGTAGTCATCTTTCCCACTGGAAAAGCAACTGAATGATAACAATTGAGAAATTAAAATAGGATAAAACTCCAATTGAGCAGACTTGTGGTTGATGTTTATTTTATGAAGGTTATTATCCACATCTCAATTAATACATAGTGCAATCCTGCTTCCTCTGCTGCTGATGACACCTTTTTATTTCTGTACACTGCACTTTCCCTAAGCTTTGTAAGGAGATTCAAGGCGGCTTCGTGTGCACTTAAAATGCTTTACTCATTTATAACTCCTGTCCTGACATTTTCTTAGATCTTAAATATAATTAGCGTGTTAGATAGAGTGGGTAGGGGGTGGGGGTGTGGAGGGAGGAGGAGACAGCTTCTAGGTTGGTTATTTCGCTGGGAGGGTAAATGCAGGCCTTTCCAATTCCCTGGAGGGGTAAGGAGACTTTTCTGTAAAATCTGTAATATTACTGACGGCCACTAGGTGGAGATCTTGGACTCAATCAAACGCAGAGGCCCTGAAGACTCCAAGGGTGCAAACTAATACAAGGCATTTTGTCCGAAAAATAAAATAAAAAGCAATAACGAGATGTCGTGGGGCCTTTTGGTCTCTGACTGTTTTAAACTCCAGATTTTTGGGGGTAAGACAAATAAATAACGCAACGACCCATCGGTAGGTGAGTCTAGCTACCTTGGTACTCTGCTACGGCTGGGTCTGAGGGGTCCTGCCCAGAGGAAGGGCATGTGAAGACATTGAAGGCCACATGCGTGAAGAAGATGCTGAGTGGTGACCAAGGGGGGAGGAGCAAATACAACTTAAAGGGGCCTTGGCTGTATGAAAACAAACGAATTTCGATGGTTGGGAGGATGAAATGCTGACAAATGACCTCGAGGTGGAGAAAGTTGGAATAGTTCACTTTCCAAAATATGCAGGAGGGGCGGGTTTCTAGCTTGTGAGGGGGAAAATCCTATTCAGAAGAGGAATGGTGGGAGAGGAAGAGAGAGGGAGAGAGAGAAAGACGAGACAGAGAAATAGAAAAGTGGGAGGGGGAAGGGGGAAGGGGGAAGGGGGAAAGGAAAGGGAAGAGAGAGAGACAGTGAGAGAAAGAGAGAGATGGGGGGTGGGGGGAGAAGGGGGCCGTGGATTTAGCCCATTACTTGAAAAAGCAGGGTAGCTGTACTGAGGTTGAGAGCATGGCACATGCCTCCCCGACCACCTCCTTCCTGCTGGCCTCTTCCTTTAGCCACCCTAACACTGAATACACACCCCCTTTCTGCCTCCCAACATTCCTGTCTCACTTCATTCTTTCTTCTTCATAAGGAATAGCTCCGGCTCCTCTTGTCTCCATCTCCTTTTGCTTCCCAACCTCCTCCGCTGAACACCCCTGAGGATGAAGTGGGCTTCATTACATTTCTGTTCTCTAGGGGCTGACTCGATGCCCCTTGCTTGTTGGCCCCCTCAGGGAGTCCTAGGCCACGGACGCGTGGCTCTGCTACTTGCGCCTTTGATCTTTTTTCCTGTCCTCTTTGTCTCCCCTTCCGACAACCCTTTCACCAGGTTCTTCTCTTCCCCTCACCTAGGAAGTCCCACTGGGCACTCATCTGTCTGTGCCTGGGCTTCTCAGGGGGAGTGGCTTGGACACAAAGCCTCTTGTCAGGCTCTCCTTTCTCTCTCTCCTGGCTTCCTTCAAACCCCACTTTCTGCAAGAGGCTTTTCCCACTGGGCCATCACCCCTCTCCTCTCCCCCAAGAGTCTTCCCTCTGTGATTGCCTTGTGTTTATACTGTACAAAGTGTGTGGACATAGTTGTCCTAATGATCTCTCCTGATTGGAGGAGGAGATCTCCAAAATCAGGGACCACATTTTTACTTTTGTGTTTCTAACGCTTAGCACAGAGTCTATTTGTCTAGACGTTTGTTTAGTTTATCAGTCGTGTCTGACTCTGTTATACTATTTGGGGTTTTCTTGGCAAAGATCCTGGAGTGGTTTGCCATTTCCTTCTCCTGCTTATTTTACAGATGAGAAAACTGAAGCAGAGTTAAGTGACTTGTCCAGGGTCACACAGCTACTAAGTGTCTGAGGTCAGATATGAGCTCAGGTCTTCTTGACTCCAGAGCCAGCACTCTATCCACCGGGCCACCTAGCTGCCCAGTCTGGCATCTAGTGAATGCTTGCTGTCCTTCATTAAATCCTTAGTAAATGCTTGTTGATTTGACCAACTTCTCCATAATCTAGTCTATCTCCCAGCGAATTCTCTCTCAGATCAGTCTATTTAAGAGACCGCAAAATTCCATGACTTGCAGTCACATAGAATTATGGGAAGAACATTTGTGTCAAGAAGGTGAACCTTTGTTTCAGTGTTTTTAATTGATCTCTAAGCTTTTTTCTCCCCGAAGCAAATGTTCAGCTTTTTACAGGCTTCACTGAGGTCTTATGTAAGACAGACAGAAATGAAAAATTGTTGGATTATGTATGAACAGACACAATGAGGAATAAACTTCCTGAGGGCACACCTAGGTGCTCAATAAATACATATCAATTAATTCATTGACATGCTTGGTGATAGGTAGCATCATTAAAAGCTCTAGGTGAGGAAAGAGCAATTTGAACCATCATTGGGCTGTGGAATACAAGAAACCTAAGGCCATCTTGGAATGCAGTAACCAACCTATCAATCAACAAGCACTTATTAAATGCCTACTATGTGCCAGGCATGGGGCTAGGTTCTGGAGATGCCAATAAAAATAGTGAAGCAATCCCAATGACATTGCATTCTAATGGATGAGACAAGCATGCACACATGTAGCATAAAGTTAATAAATCCAAATATACGTGAATTAGTTAACTACAAGGTAACTTAGGGGAGGGGAGAATGCTAGGAGAGGGGGCGATAGGAAAGGCTGCATGAAGAAGATAGCACTCGAGCTGCATCTTTGGGACTCTAGAAGGAGACACAAGGAGGATGCATTTCAGGCACCGGGAATGTCCAATGCAAAGGCACAGAGATGGGAGAATGGGGAGTCATTTGGGAGGAAGGGAGGGAAGGTCAATATGACTCTACTTTAGCATGTAAGAGGAGGGTGGGATATGGTACGACACTGGAAAAATTGGCTAGGCTGGGGATAGGCTGTGCAGGAGCTAGCCAAGGACATTGATGTTTGATCCTCAGAGGAAAAGGAAGCCCTTGGGGTAGGATTAAGAGAATGATACCCTCCTGGAATCAGGGAGGTGGTGACAGATCCACTGAAGTCTGCCCTGCTCAGACCATAGCCAGAGGTTTGGGTTCTGTTCTGGGCACGGGAGTTTAGGAAAGATGCTGATGAGTTTGAGTGTATAGAGTGTCCAGCTGAAGACAAGTAGATGCCCACAGGGGCTCACATTCACACGTGTGAAGACTGAAGGAATGGGACACGTTTAGTCTGGACAAGAGAAGGCTTAGGAAGACCCCATAGCCGTGTTCAAGTATTTGAAAAGCTGTGATGGAGAATTATTTCCGGCCTGTGTGGTTCCTCAGGACAGAATGGAGAACAAGGGGCAGAAGTAGCCCAAGCGGCAAACTTAGGCTGGACATCAGGAGAATCTTCAGTGACAGCTGTCCACATCTGGCTGAGGAGCTGGGCTTTCCTCCCAGGTACTTCTTCAAATTCAACCTGAATGGGGACATTCTAGCAGGGAGTCTTTCCCGGCATGAGCTGGACCGGACGGGTTATGAGCCCCCTCCCGATTCTGAGATGGTGTGAGCCTGGGTGAGATCCACCAGCGGAGTGGTCCTGAGAAGTCTCCTCCTGTGACTCTCGGGAGTTTCACAGGCACAGGCCAAGCGTGGCGGGTTGCCTGCCTCTACGGACAGTTAGAGATAGCTGCCTGCCTTTGACACCCACAAATCAGCTTGTGCCAATTGAGGAGTAATTCCACGTTAGCATTCCATACGCGCATGGCGTGAGAGTTTATACAGCGTGGCCTAGTTGATAGGAGCCTTGAGTCGGGGTCAAGAAAATGTTACTTCCCACTTTTGCTGTGTGACTTTCGCCAAGTCGCTTAATCTCATTCAGCCTCAGTCTTCTTATCTCTTAAAAAAGACATAATACCCATAAAACTCACCTCGAAAGATTTTTGCAAAGATTAAAGGGCTATCTAAATATCAGTTATCATTTGTGCCAATCCTGGAACTCTGAAGAATGCTACCCTGCGGACTCTGGTGGGAGCCCTCCCCTGTGTATGAGGAGAAGTGTTTCGGAGGTAACACCCATTCTGTGCACAAGTTATAGCATTATGAGCTTCTGGGGCTGTGTCAATTCCTGGGCTCCCATCATATCCACACCGTCAAAACTGCCCTTGGAGATGGCATCACACAAAGAGCGCGCCGTTGGAAGACACAAGGCCTGAATTTAAATTCTGGCTCTACCAAAGACCATCTTGTGCACTGTTGCACATCAGTTTGCTTCTCTGGGCCTCAGTTTCCTCATCCGTAAAATGAGGAAATAGACAAGGAAATCTCTGAATCTCCTTCTGATTTACAGTTTTTCTCAAGGATTTTGTGACTTTGTGAATTCTCATGAAAAGCCGGGTAATAAGAAACAAATGATCTGCTGCTTTTTCTCCTCTTTTCCTTTTCATGTTAACTGTCAGAAGCAATCATCCTCCATTGTCACAAGGCAATGCCAGGTTAGGACTAGAATGCTTCTATTGGGAGAAAAGGGTCGCTCCCCCCACACCTTTGGTGAGGGGCCCATTTTCTCCTCTTTTCTAGAGCTGCTTGGAGGGTTTGCAGTGAAGGAGCCAAAGCCACTGATGATTATGCCTTGTGCTGCGTGGCAGTTTCTGAGCAGGCATTGTTACACTTTGGAAAAGGGAGTTTTCTCACTGGGAGTTCCCTCGACCAATGAAATAACTGGGCTGGCATTTTTTTTTAAGTCCTCTGTGAGAGGCATCATGGCAAACTGGCCTCAGATTAAGGAAGACTTGGGTTCCAGTCCTGCTCCTGACACACGCTAGCTGTGTGACCCTGGACAAGTCCCTTCATCTCCTGGGGCCCCACATAATTCTCTAAGATGAGGAGCTGCTGGTCTGTGTTGGTGAGTGAGCTTTTTCCTTGAATGTTCCCCACACCACTGGCCCTGTAGGTCTAGACCTTCCGTGTTTCCCCTCCAAACATCCACAGTGCCTGGCACACAGTGGGTCCTTTATAAAAGATTTTTTTAATTAATAGCAGCCACAGGCACCCCATAACAATCTCTCTCTCACCACTTTGACAGTACAGAGTGGGGAAACCTTTGGGGAATTCTGGGAAGGATGGAAATAAGGATCCATAAGGAATCATTCAGTCAGAATTTATTAAGTTCCTTCTCTGTGCTCAGTCTTGGGTATACAAAGGCAAAAATGAAACAGTCCCTGCCTTGAAGAAGTCGGCACATACAGAGCATCCTAAAGGCATGGCTAATGCTTGAGCTGGAATAGCTTAAAGTGCACTATGACTTTTGGGACACCCTGTATTCTCTCTAGGGAGGCATGACATCCACACGCAAGCATGTATGAAATGCATAAATGCAAAATAAACAGAAGATAATGTGGGCAAGTAAGTAGCTCATCACTGGGGATCAGGGCAGGCCTCTTGTCAAAGGTGGTGCTTGAGCTGAGCTGTGAGCCTGAACTGATGAAATGATAAGAGCGCTGTTGTTATTTATCTGGAGAACCAAAAACTTAACAGTCTGCAAAGATGAGGGCTCACCATAGCAGCTCTCGGGCCAGAAATAATGGGAATGAGTGAACCCAAAGCCAATGAGCTTGAGATGAGAGATAACCTTTCCTGACAGGGAGCATTGTTAGATGCTCGGCTGTGTTACCAGGGGAAGCTATGGCATCTTGCCTTCTGGGTCGGTCTTTGAGAAAAGAATAGAAAAGCATCTGTCTGCAGCGGAGGAGGTAAATCTCTGCCCAAAGAAAGAGGCTGGACTCACTAGCTGACCTCAAGGGGCATATTTCAGTCCTGGCTTTAGGAGCCTCTCCCTACTGACTGCTGTCTTCTGTTCCATCTTTCTGTTTATTTCTCCTTTTCCTATAACTTTTATTTTTTAATCAGTTGGTATGATTTCTTTTCCCTTCCCACTGTCTTTCTCCTTTCCTTTTCTTACTAATATCCAAGTAATTCTTTCTGAAATGAAGTAACAGTAATGAGCACACCTGGAGGGCTGTCGTCAGGTCTGGGTACCTGGTCTGTCCAGGGAAGAGGCTACCGGAAGAGGGAAGGGCTTTCAATTCCTGCCCTGTGAGGAGGGGTGGGAGGAACTGCGGATGATCAGCTAGAGAAGAGACAACTCCGGAAATGCAAAGCTCCTCCTTCTATAATGGAATGGCGTGTTAAGAGGAAGGGAGACCCGATTTCTTTTGCTCTGCCCCAAAGGCAAAGCCGTAGGCAGCAGGTGCAACAAGTCTCGAGGTAAGGGGAAAACCAACCACCTACCAATCCCAAGTGAAATGGACACCTGGTTAGTGAGGGGTGAACTAGAGGGTGGACTTCCCCTGCTGGAAGTCTTTACCACAGCCCAAACAGGATGAAGAGAGGATCTTCTTTAGGGTACATGAGGAAGTGGAGGAGCTCTGAAGTCCCGGCATTCTGTGGCATCGCTTTTATTGAGCAACCCTAATGACTTTGGATGCCTCACTTTCCCTCAGACATAATTCCTGAGCAACAGCCCTGTGATACTGGGTGAAGTGATTGACTGAGACTCCACTGAGCCCACAGCACCGCCCAAGCGAGGACGAGGAGAAAGACTTCATAGATATGAGGAGACATCTACCAAGATGTACAAATATGCACATGTGTACAAGTAGATATACATAGGCATGTATTATATACACATGTATGTGTGTGTGTGTGTATGTATGGAGAGAGAGAGAGGGAGGGAGGGGGAAAGAGAGGGAGAGAGGGAGAGAGAGAGAAAGAGAGAGAGAGAGCACGTCCAGGTGCATGTTATAACAGGAATGTAATCTCCCTGAGGAGATTCTGTCTCTGTGCCACCAGAGCCTAGCACAGTGCCTCACACATGATAGGAGCTTATTAAATACTTGTTGATTGACTGATTAAACTCTTCTGTGGAGTCCAGATGAACCAGCCTTGAACCAAATATCTCTCAGTTGAAAACACAGTTACATGAGGTTTCTCTGCATTCAGCACATGCATCCTCGGTACACTGGAGATATAACTGAGGTGAAATTATAGGTGGTTTCACATCCTTAGGATCTTAGGATCATTGGTTAAGCTAGAAAGGACACAGAATTTTATTCAATCCAATATCCTCATTTTCAGATGAGAAGAGCAAGAGCCAGAGAGGTCCAATATCCTGTACACAGTCACACAGATGGAAAGCAGCAGATCTGGGACTTCTGGTTAGTTCTGAGAAACATTTCAACATCAGAGGAAAAAAATGGAATAAACACAGAATTCAAAATCTCTAAAGCAATTAGAGGGCGAAGAGCAGAAGGCAAATCACTCTTAAAATAGACACTTAAAGTAGACTTTGCTGCTCAATTTGAAACAGATTTTTGACCATGACACATTTTATATATAACCAAAAAAATTACTCACTTCAGGACATGTGTTCCAGCCTCTCATTAACAAAGACGAGATGGGTTTGGGAATGGAATAGCCTATGGGAGGTCGGATGTGATGGTAAGCCATGTCAGCAGCTGCTGCAGCTGAAAACAAAGAACGTTTATCAACTTCAGGGAGTAAAACCATTTAATTTAAGAGAAAAAACATAAATAGATAAAAAAAATCATTAGACATTGATCTGTACAATACAGGCTGTGATTCAAAGACGCAGCTGCCATTTTGAAGGTTCAGAGAAAAGGGATGGGTGGAGCAGATTGGTGTTCATGTCACTCAGCATCAGCTCATGCAAATCTTCCCTGGCTTCTCTGAAACCATCCCCTTCATCATTTCTTATGGCATCAGTATATGATTCATTGAACCATCCTCTGACTGATGAGTGACCCCTTTACGTCCACTTCTCTGCTCCAACCAAAAGAGCTGCTTCAGTGTTAGTCCATATGGGTCCCTTTCTTCGCTCTTTTATCTCTTTGATGTATAAGCCTAGAAGTGCTATCAAAGGGTGTGAACAGTTGGTGACTTCAAGGGGCAAGGTTCCCCATGAGTTTTGGAATGAACAGACCACTTCTAGCCCTGTGGGGTTTGAGCATGCCTGTTTTTCTGCAGTCTTTCAGACAACTTTTTTGTTAGCCATTTTTGCCAAACTGACAGGTATGAAGTAGGATCTGAGTTCTTTCAGTTTGCATTCTTCTAATCATTAGTGATTTGGAAATCATGTTTCTTCACACAGCTATCCATGGCCTGGACTCCTTCCTCTTCATATCCTTTGACCATTGGTTTCTTGGAGAATTGCTCTCATTCTTTTATATCGAGTATGACTATGAAGATACGAATTAGTTTCTTATACTGTGGGTGTCCCATAAACCGTAGTGCAGTTTTAAGCTAATAAAGCTTAAAGCTATTTTAAACCATTTTAAAGCCATTATAGCTATTAAACCTGTACTAAGATTTCTAGGACACTTTGCATTTCAAATATCAAAGTTTTATCAGAAAAAATTTGTTCCAAAACCTTTTTTCCACTTAACTGCTTTATTTCTGATTTCAACCTCATTGATTTTGTTTGTACAAAAGCTTTTCAAATTTGTCACCAATGTCATCTCTTTTAAATCCTGTGTAGGGGGCACCAGAGTGCACAGAGTCCTGGGTCTTGAGTCAGGAAGATCTGAGTTCAAATCTGACCTCAGACATTTGCCACCTGTCTAACCTTGGGCAAGTCACTTCACCTCTGTCTGCCTCAGTTTCATTGCCTATATAATGGGAACAATAATAGCACCTTCCTTGCAGGATTGTTGTAAGTATCAAATGTGATAACATTTATACAGTGCTTAGCACAGTACCTGGCACACAATAGGTGCTATAGAAATGTTAGCTGTTATGGTGATGATAGGAAGGCCTAAAGCATGCTGGAGAGATTCTTTATGGAAGATTTAGAGATCATGTAGCAGAGTCTCACAGAGTAGAAAGTCGGGGTGGAGGGGCTGTGCTTTGCACAGTGAGAGGGAGTCTCATCACCCACATTTATGAAACCATAAATTCACAGAAATATTGAAAATTTAATGTACAATGCAGGTAGTCTTTAGCTATACTATTCAGAGGAAAGCAAAAATGGCAACTTTTACCAATAGAGCATTCCTTTCCACAGAAAGTAAGTCCTTTGAAGGCAGATGCTATTTCATTTGTGTTTTGCATCTTTAGCACCTGGGGCAGCTAGGTGGTGCAGTGGATAGAGTGCCAGCCCTGGAGTCAGGAGGACCTGAGTTCAAATCCTGCCTCAGACACTTATTAACTGTGTGACCCTGGGCAAGTCACTTCACCCTATTTACTTCAGTTTATTCACCTGTAAAATGGGCCAGAGCAAGAAATGGCAAACCATTGCAATATCTTTGCCAAGAAAGTGGGGGTCACAGAAAATTGCACACAACTGAAACAACTCAACAACAAAAATTCTCTGCACCTGGCACATAGTAGGGCTTCATGCATGATGGCTGATTAGCTATTTCCCAGTAGGGAGGTAATGGTGGTATATCCATACCTCTTCTACTTCCATTCAAGGATACACCTGTACTGTCTCTATACTTGGCACCCACCTTGAGGTTGAGGGTAATCAATTTAACGGGCGAGTGTCTGGTGACCCAGTAACACAGATCTAGTATAGGTGTGCTGACACTCTGTCCTTTCCTTCTAGCATTAAGTTCTCTCTCACTACACACACACACACACACACAACATTAAGGTTTTGTCTCACTACCTCATAACTAAATATGTGGGCATGGTGTAGGGATGGGAGTGGGGAGCTGGGGTCTAGATATGCTCAACTGTTGGAATAACCCTGTGGCACCCCATTGTGCCCAATGCCCTGGGACTTCCACTTAGCCTCACGGTAGAACCCAGAAAAACACGGGATTACAAGCACAGTTAGAGTGCTTACATCCAAATAAAACCTTTCCAATGAGTTTGCCCACTTATGCGAGGGTACCTCATTTTCAGGTGTCAATCATGCCCCCATGTAGATATTTCACATATGCTCTAGTATCAACTATGTCAAGGTATTTGCTTCTTGGAGTATTGTTGGGGGATTTGGTTCAGATTGAATGACAATTAATTATTCATTATTCAAAGTGGATTGCATGAGCCCTTGGCTTCTCTATCTGCCTCCTGTTCTCCCCAGATCTTGGCAATGGCGCTGCTCATTAGCACTTCCACCAGAAAGTGGGCAACAGAAATTCCAATTTGTCACCTTCAGGTGTTGCTTCTTCACCAGCAAATGCTAGTGCCGTGATTCAGTGTTGGGAGGCTTTCCTGACTTAATAGGGCCAGCAATGAGAGCCCCCATCTGTCTGCCAGTCAGGTTCCTGCAGTGTTATCAACTTTAGAATAGGTGATACAATCCCATTAGTGATGAGTTCCATGTTTATAAATGTATATAGGGAAGCTAGTTGCCTAAAAGGAAACTAGAAGGAATTAAATAGAACCAAGTTAACAAAAAGTGAGTGCTTAGTATTAAGGAATTACAGAATCTTTGATTTGGAAGAAAGAGACTTCTGGGTGTGATATAGAAACATTCTCTACTGCATTCCTTCCAAGGGTTTCTTTAAAGATTAATGATGTAGAGCATTTTTCATATATATATTGACGGTTTGAATTTCTTCCTCGGAAAACTGCGTATTTATATCCTTTGACCATTTATTCATCAGCTGTAGGATGGTTCTTATCCCATAGATTTGACTCAGTTCCCTGTATACGTCAGCATTTTAGGGCAGATCATTAAGGCAATGGCTGGCAATCATCTAACTAAGTAGGAAAACAGTGATTAGAAAAGGCAGCATGGCTTCATCAAGAATTGATCATGTTAGAGTAACCTCATTTTTTCTGATGGGCTTATTCAACTAGCAGATGAGGATATAGATTACTTAGCAAAGTTTTCAATAAAATACTTCATGGTTCTTGTTGAGTAGATAACATAATTGGATGGGTTCAGAGCTGGTTGGATGACTAGAGTGAAAGAGTAGCTGTTCATGATTTAATACCTGTGTGGCAAGACGTCTCCAGTGAAGTGCCTCAGGGATCTCAGCCTGGCCCTGAGCTGTTTAACATTCTATCAATGACTTAGAAAAAAGGCTGAGATGATATGGTTGTCAAATATACAGCTATTGCAAAGCTTGAAGGAGTAGTTAACACAATGGATGACACAGGGGAGAATATTATGTTGAATAAAAAAAAAAGATGAAAATCCCATAGGGATGTATCTAAAGCCTTGCTAAAGTCAAATCAATTTTATAAATGTAAAGTGGGGGGAGGCCTGGAATGACTGCTCTGTTGTCACTGATGTTCAGTCATCTCAGTCATGTCTGACTCTTCCTGGCCCCATGTAGGGTTTTCTTGGCAGAGATACTGAAGTGGTTTCCTGTTTTCTTCTCCAGCTCATTTTGCAGATGAGGAAACTGAGGTAAACAGAGTTAAGTGACTTGCCCAGGATCACACAGCTAATAAGTGTCTGAGGCAGAATTTGAACTCAGGTTTTCCTAGCTCCAGGCCAGGTGTTCTATCCACTGCTGTTGTTGTTGTTTTCCAGGAGGGAAAAAAAAAAAGAAATATCTGAAAGTTTTAGTGGCCTGCAAGCTTTCTCTTCAGGGATAGTCTAAACTGAATGGCCTCTGAGGTCTTCCAAACGTCAAATTCTACAATACTGGCCCTCTGGGATCATGATTACCAACCTTGGAGATTAAATGGATGAATGAGAGCTTTGAAACGGGTTCAATTAGCTATAGCTCTAGCCCAGACATGGAAGGATCTTAGAGTAGGACACACCAGAAAGGGGTAGATCAGCTTCTGGTTGAGTGTCCAGTCGGAGGCAGGACCATGAGCTCCAAAGGCGGCCCATGACACTTTGGAACCATTTCTGGTTGGAAGTCAAGAGTTCATGATATCAGCCCTCAGGTCTGCTCCACAACGTTCCCCCACTGGTTCAGCCGTCTGGGGCCACATGGAGCAAGGCTAATTCCTTCTCCACACAACGGTCCTCCAAACACTTGAAGGCAGCTGCAATGTGCCTCCTGAGCCTTCTTTTCTACAGGCTAAACAGTCCCATTTTCTTCAGCTGATCCTCATATGACTTAGACCCAAAGCTCATCACTCTTCTGGACACCATTCTCTGGATGACATCTGTACCAAAACCATGCCCCCCCCCCCAAATAAAAGAACGTAATGGGTCAAATGAGGTCTGGAGAAGACTGCACACAGTGGATGATTACCTTTCTACTCCCGACAGCTGAGCCTCTATTGATGCAGCTTACGGTCCCCAAGGCAGCTAGTGGCACTGTGGATAGAGGACCGGGCCTGGAGTCAGGAAGTCACGAGTGCAGTTCTGGCCCCAGAAACTATTTGTGCCAACCTGGACAAGTCATTTGACCTCTGCATCAGTTTCCTCATCTATAAAATGAGGATAATAATGCATCTACCTCCCAGGGCCATTGTGAGGAACAGATGAGGCAACATTTATTGAAAGAGGATGTAGTAGTTCTATATAAATGCTTTCTCCCCAATTAGACTAGTTCCAATTCTTAGAACTCTTTCCCTACTCATTCCT